CCAGAAGTGGCATCTAACTCAACCTAGAGGTTAAAAAAAAAAAAAAAGCTTCCTGAAGATATAACTGACCTGCGTTCTCAATGGGAGAAGGGAAAGACAAGAAAGGAACAGAGATGCTAAGACCAGAGAAAAAGTGCCTTATCTGAGCAGAAACCCCAGTTCAATAAGGGTGGATCAAAGAATTTAAGGAAGAAAGCAAGGAAGGAAAGCCCAGAGAAGTAACAGGTCATGAAGAATCTCACATACAGGCCATGCTACAGTTAAGCTTTATCCTGAAAGCAGTGAGAGAGCACTAAAGATCTTTCAATAGGAAAGGACGTGATCAGATTTGCTTTTGTACTACAAACGTCATTTATAGTGTGTGCCATACTTGCATTCCCATCTTGTGAGAAATTAGCCTACACACTGCCCCATGCTTTTCACCATTATGATCCTGCCCCACACCCACAGGCACAAATAAACACAGGCCAACACTAAATGGCCCGGAGTGATCACATGACCCAGGTATACAGACTTGTAGCAGCCCATGAGAAAAAGACCTGAGCCAAAGAGATTGTTTCTTAGAAATTCAAACCAGAAGATTCCAGGGAGAAGGAAAAAGTCAGTAAACAGGAGCTCAAGTTAAAACGAGAGCATCCAGGAGGCAAAATGTTGGCACAAGAGTAACAGAGTAGTTATAAGGAAGCAGAAGTTAGGAATAAATGGAAGTTGGAAGATAGCAAAGGAAAAACTGGAGTAGAGAGAAAAAGTAAACCAAAGATAAATAGTAAAAGTAGTTAAGACAAGTTAACCAAAGAGCTCTAGAGTGAAATCTGTCTTTTCCTGCTTCTAGCTTTATTTATTAAACTCCTATTCTTCTTGAGACCAAGTTGTTTAGCTTTTCCTAGGTTCCTTTATGCATGTTTCCTTTCAAAAAGCACTCTACTACTTACTGTAACTTGAGTCTCCTCTTTGCAAATGAAACAGCCTAACGAAAAGAGCATTTTAGAACACCTAATCTGGCAGCAGTGCAGAGAATGAATGGGAGGCAAAACAAGAGACAGAAAAGAGAAAGCAACAAGACCACTTAGAAAGCATTACAGGAGCAGCACAACAGACATCTGGGGTTAAGAAACAGGGCACCTGAGTGGCTCAGTCAGTTAAGCATCTGCCTTTAGCTTAGGTCATGATCCCAGAGTCCTGGGATAGAGTCCCACTTAGCGCTCTCCACTCAGCAGGGTGTCTGCTTCTCTCTCTGACCCTCTCCCATCTTGTGCTCGCTCACGAGCGCGCACTCTCTCTCTCTCTGTCTCTCACTTGCTTTCTCTCAAATAAATAATAAAATCTTTTAAAAAATAAAGTAGAAACAACAAAAATAGCAATAAGAAATTATCTGAAATATCATGAGGGAGAATGTGCAGGATTTAATGATACTGGTAGTAAAATACAGAGTGGAGGATGATTCACAGGTTCCTGAAGACTTCTGGAGATGAAGATCATCTGGAGATAAAGATCATCATCAAGATAGGAAATCAAAAACAAAATTTTTTGTTGCAGTTTGTCTCCCTCTTTTTGGAAGAAAGAGAAGCAGAGAAAGAGTTTTATTTTAGGGGCACCTGAAAGGCTCAGTGGGTTAAAGCCTCTGCCTTCCGGTCAGGTCATGATCTCAGGGTCCTGGGATCCAGCCCCGCACTGGGCTCACTGCTCAGCAGGAAATCTGCTTCCCTTCCTCTCTCTCTCTGCCTGCCTCTCTGCCTACTTGTGATCTCTGTCAAATAAATAAAATCTTAAAAAAAAAAAAAAAGTTTTATTTTGTACAAGGCTGAAGTGCTTGTGAAATGTGAATCCAAGTGGAGATGTCCATTAGCAGTAATTCACAGAGGTCCAGAGTTAAAGAGAGGGATCTATCTACACAGCAGCTCTAGATTTATGAATACATAAAGTCGATGTTAGATTTTAAAACATGACCCAAAATTCCCTAATATTTATTTCAAACTAAGTTAATAGAACCTGAAAAATCATGCAAACTAAGAAAATTAGTATTTGGGGCAACCATATTTTCAAACATCCTGCACTTCTCCACAAATGAACACTGAACCAACTTCTACAAGAGCAAAACCCAAATGATTAGAAAAGATGGGTTTATGGTACTAATTTCTACTGAGGTTTTACTCTTTTTTTTTTTTTTTAAAGAAAATCTAAGTTTAAAAAAAAAATCTAAGTTTATTCCATTTCCCTTACAAACTATCCACCACTGATGTTAAATAACGGAAAAAACTTAATCACATATTAGACTGTGTACTTCACTATTGATACTTATAGTAAGATTTTTAAATAATTTAATCACTTAATTTACTAGCTTTAGACATTCAACTCTACCCTCGCTGTAAATGTTGGATCTCTGTCCTATAATCTTTTCTACTCTCATTTATACATTTTGCCCCAAAAATCTACTACAACCCAGAGGTTGATAATAAACTTAAGCCACAAATCCAGCTGCCTCTTGCACATCAAGATGTGACAGAAGTGTAATCACCCCAATGCAACTTGTCACAAATTAAATTCTTCTTTCTTGACAAAAATAAAAATAAAAAATCCCATTCCTCCCTCGTATCAATTCCCACTTCAGTGAAAGGTACAAGCTTGAAACCTAAATCTTGTATGAACCTTCTCCCTAATCTCAAATCCAATGAAATCACCAAGTCCTGTCTACTTCCAATACCCAAATACAGATCCGCTACCATCATTTGCCTGATATTCCTGCCTTTAGTCTTAGACTACTCTTTAATCCACTCTACCCACTGCAGCCACAGTGACCTTTTAAAATGACAATCTGATCATTTCAGTGCCATAGTTTATATCCTTCAATAACTTATTTGATAAATATTATAATCACCATCAAAGCTAGTCACTCCACGGAAGCTCAGAAATTCAATGAGAACTTCAGTTATATCCTTTTTTGTAAATTCAATAAAAAGAGTCACTAGGGGGGCACCTGGGTGGCTCAGTGGGTTAAGCCTCTGCCTTCAGCTCAGGTCATGATCTCAGGGTCCTGGGATCGAGCCCCGCATTGGGCTCTCTGCTCAGCGGGGAGCCTTCTTCTCCCCCTCTCTCTCTGCCTGCCTCTCTGCCTACTTGTGTTCTCTCTCTCTGTGAAATAAATAAATAAAATATTAAAAAAAAAAAAAGAGTCACTAGGAAATTTGAAATCCTGATAATTACTTAGGACATAAACAGCTAATACATTTCAAAGAAAAGCACGTAGTGTTGGTTGTAAAAGCAAAGACTAAAAATAATCTCAACATCATAAAAGCAATACTATCCAGCCCATAAATGAGGCATTTCCATATGTACTGTTGTTATATGATTTCTAGGATCTACTATGAGGTAGGGGGTGAAGGGGCGAAAGCTATAGAGTGTACAGGAAGCTACAGAGTGTAAAGTATTTGTGGTGCTTTTTAAGAGTATAATTTAATAATATAAATCTGAGAATGTATAGGCTTGTGTATGCTAAAAACATCACAGGAGGAACCCACATAAAGATGGAAATAAAAGTTGCCTCTAAAGAGTGAAAATGGGTGATTGGAGAATACAGGGGGAAGAAAAACTCTTTACTGCATATTCTTTTGAATTTCTTGACTTTTACACTATGTCTGATTATTACCTATAATTTCAGTATGATGTTCTCCCTCCTCAGCTTCACACACAAATAAAAATTTTAAAAGTTCTAACTACAAAAACCTCACTATACTTCATCCCTATACCAACGTTTAAAATTAGATACTGGTCATTTAGTGTAACACTACATTTCCTTCTTGACAACTCAGAAGTTCAACTTCCACAAACAAAATTTTATCCACTATTTCACTATTGCTGAGAAGGCTGCTGGTAATGACATCAGTCAACACTGCATGGTAACTGTACTTGCTTCAAGGAGCAGAAATGTATTATTAAATTGACATCAAAATCTTCAAAGATCAAGAAAAACCACAAAACTTACTTTTTTCTAGAAAATTCAAAACAACACATTAAAAAAAGAATCCCCCGGTATCATTCAAAAACAAAGGAAAAAATGCGTAAAAATCTACAGGAAGGTGAAGCGAATGATATTACATGGAGACACTGTCACATCCCTTAGTGTAATGTGATTTAATCCTTATAGAGGTCCCTTAAAGTCACACGTTCCACAGAAGACACGAGATGAGAAGCAGGCTGTGTGACCTATCAACACACACACCCTCTGCTCTGGGCTTCCACACTCCTCCCAGTCCCTCCCTTCTCAGCCACCAGATTAAACACTCCAAACACGGGTGTCAGTTGGTCCCCTTAAACCCCACGGGCGAGGGGGGGCGGGGAGACACTAGATTAAGCAAACATCCCTCCAGGATTTAATGGAAAACCTTTTCAACCAAAGAAAAGAGAAAGATAACAAGGTCTGCCGGAGTGAAGGGCTGGGGAAAGGCTACTGTCTGATGATGTCTAAGAGGTGCTGAACAGATCCCCTGGGAGGTGAGAGCATCACCAGACTACCCCAAAGCCGAGGTGGTGGGTAGGGCTGATGGAGAGAGAGCTGGGAGGGAAGGGGTCAGCAGGAACAGGGTGGCTGCGATGGACGTGCCGTGGAGCTGGGGGGTCGCTATCGGTTAGGGGGCGGCCGTGACTGGGTTTCGGAGGAACGGTGACCGGGTCAGCTTACGGGAGGCCGTAACAGTGTCTGAAGGCTCCATTAAGAGTCCTAAGAGAATCCGAGGGGGCTTCTAATGGGCTGTGTTGGGGTGGGGGGTCCCAGAACGGCCGGGGCTGGCGGACCGGGATGGTGTCCGGCCAATGGAAGATACGCTGGGTGAGGTCTACAAGGGACCCGGCGCCGCGATCGCGTGTCTGGGAGGCTCCCGGGCAGACCCGCTCGCGGGCGTCTCCGCTGGGGCGGGGCGGGGCGGCCCCGCAGGAGCCAAAGAGCTAGACCGAGACGTGGGCCGGGCCGGGCGGCAGGGCCGCTCGGCGGCTTGGGCGGGTCTTACCTCGGGCTCCGCCGCGGTGGCCACCACAGCCCCCTCCTCTTCGCCAGAAGCCACTTCCCACCCGCGGCCCCAGGGTCAGGCCGCCGGAGACAGCAGAGGCTAAGGCCACCAAGGGTCGGACGGTTCCGGGAGGGTGGGCCCAGCAGCCTCAGGGTCCGAGAGAGCGGCCGCCGCGCATCCCCCGCCCTGTCAGAGAGACTCCGCCCGGCCGGGGCAGGCACAGACCCCGCCGCACCCCGCCCAGAGAGCACGCGTCGGACCGCCGCCTCAGCCGCTGTCGCTGTCTCTGCGGGTGCCGCGGGTACCTCCGCAGCCTCCTCTCACAATCCTTGCGGTACTCTCAGCAGCCACCGCCAACCGCCGCCGCGTCCCTCGTCTGCTCAGGCCCGCGCGCCCCCGACCCCGCGCACGCGGCCCCGCCCCGCGCGACTCCCGGCTGCAGAGGAGCAGGCGCGCGCGCACTTACCTCCCACGCCCCCTACCTCCCGCCAGAGCCGGCCAGCCTGCCGGCCTGGCCCCCGCACGTGACGCCGCCAGAGAGTACCTCAGGCGCCTGCGCGGACACGCCCCATTCGTCCGCCCCAGGCGGCCCCGCCCAGACTTTTCTTCCTCACCTTACGGCAGAGCTCGGAACCGTGCCTCAGATTCTCACTCTAGTAGAGAGGAATGTCGCAAGGTTGGGGTAAAAAACTCTGGGTTTGCGACTGTAGCTTTCGCTTTCCGGCCAACACAGAGGTGCCTGAAGGCTGGTTGGGGTGGTGAGGCCCGAGGCAGGTAAGAAGGCGCCTCCCCACTTTGGTTGGTCGGGCGGTCTGTCCCGGCACGGAGCCGCTTTTCAGCCCTTGCAGATTTGGCATATCCTTGCCCCCTCTCCAGTTCTGGTGCTGGATTCTCTGCGCCGCCCCTCTTAGCCCCCGCCCCTTCCCACGCACACGCCCTCTCCCCCGCATTTCCCCGCCCCCGACCTTAGTTTCCTAGTCTGACTTTCCATTCATTTTTCAGACTTTTCACGGAGTGCTTTCTCGTGCTTCAGACTCTAGGAAGTCAGAAGTAAATGAAACAGTCTTAGCTTTCTCAAGTGTGGTGTTATGTGGGAGACGTTGAGAGAATCCGCAGTAGTAATAAAGTAAAACTATGGGGGCGCCTGGATGGCTCAGTCCTTAAGCGTCTGCCTTCCGCTGAGGTCATGATTCCAGGGTCCTGGGATCGAGTCCTGCCTCGGGCTCCTTGCTCCCGGCGGGGAGCCTGCTTCTGTCTCTGCCTCTGCCTGCCACACTGCCTACTTGCGCGCACGCTCTCCCTCTCTCTCTCTCTCTGACAAATAAAATCTTTTTTTTTTTTAATGTATGACAGAAAAAAAAGCAGAGAACCCTCTGAGCATGGAAGAGGAGCCCCTGATTGTGTGGAAGGAGTGGGGGAAACTCTTTCCAAGGTGACCTTTGAGTCACTCCTAAGTTGTGTTAAAAGACTAGTGAGTGTGGCTGGCCAAGAAGTTGGAGATAGAAGCAGAGAGAACGATGGGTGCAGAAACATGACAGTATTGATTGTAAGAGTAAAACGTTGGAGGAGTAGAGTTGGTGGAGGCCATAGGCGTAGATTACCCTTTAAAAAAGCACCGTTGTAAAGGGTGAAGAGAGATGAGGGGCGAGAATATGGGCAGAAAGAATCTTTTCTTTAAAGATGGGGGACTTGGGCGTAAAAGTGTACCATGGAACCCACAAGTGGACAATTCATGGATGAAGGTGGCTGATTTATAGCATCAAGGACACTAGGGGAACTCAACCTTATGTGCACATTAGAATAACCTGAGAAGCTTTTTTGTGTGTTTTGGCGGGGGGGCTTGTTGGTGGTGGTTTTTTGTTGTTTTGTGTTTTTTTTTTTTTTTTAATAAAACCAATGCTCCTGTTCTAACAAACTCTGAGGTTAGGGGCTCAGGCATCAGTATTTCTTAAAGGCTCCTGAAGTGCATTGAGGGTTGAGAGGAAAAGAAAGGATGGAAAGTTAGGAAGGGCAGGAAGTTGATGTCATTGGCTCTGTAACATTAAGATGGAAGTCATTGGATGAGAGAGTTGGGGATGGAATGCAAAGCTTGAGCACAGTGATGGCAGTTTTGGATAAATACTCTGGGTGATGAGAAAAGCGTCATTTCTGCCTTTCCCTTCAGCACAGTTCCATCCCTCAATCTTATGAAGTCCACCTTAAGGCTCTCTTCCCTTTCTCTACCATCCAGCAGCATCTATCAGCTGGGGATCCAACCTTAGAGCTCAATCAAGGGCATCTTCATTTCTGTCCCCAAAAAGAGCTAAGTCAACTTAAGATTCGAAGATTAACTTTACTCCCCTAGAGATTACTGCAGTGCATTGCCAATTTAGAATCTGTCTTCTGTTACTCAGCAATCATTTAAGTTAGGAGAGAGATAAAAGACAGTTAAAATATAACCCTATTTAGATCTCATAGTATTAGTGAAAACAAACCTTTTAAAAGAACAATTCACTTGGCAGGCAGAGAGGTCTCTATAAGGCAAAGCCAAAGCAGTGCATGGCTACTGTCTATTAACTAGGGCTAATCCAAAAACTTGTCTATCTGCCTGCAGATAAGACAGCATTACTGTTGTCTGGTATGACTAGGAATTAATATGAAGGGTAGGGGTGGGGCAGAGATAAAGATGATAAAGTGGGTGTGAACAGATGATGAGGAGCCTTGAATTCCAGGCTAAAGTATTTAGATTATCTACTATAAGCAATTAATAGATATAAAAAACAAAGATAAAAATAAAATAACCTTTTTTTACACCATGGACTTCTTTGGCAGCCTGGCCTGTGGCCCCTATCTCAGAATGTTTTTAAATGTGAAAATAAAATAATAGAAACAAAATCAATTTTATTGAAAATTTTAAAAATATTTAAAAAACGGGTGTTTGATGTGGTCATATGTGTGTTTCTTTATGCATTAAATAACATCTGGCAGCAAGTAATTTCAAAATAGTGATGAGTATAAATTGTATTTTGAAATACTTTTGAAATTTTGAAATATTTTGGAAAACTTCAGTGTGATATGAAAATATATTTCTGTTGGTGAAAAGATATAGGGACTGCTAATACTACTGTGGATTATCCTATACTTATTGAAGATAATGTTAAATTTCAGTTAGATACTATCAAAAATCAAGATGCAGTTTTTTTCCCAGTCCAAGTTCATGGAACCTTTAATTCTTACTGCATCCTGGCCCATGGAGCATAGATTTATAAAAAGCTGACCATAATAGTTTTAAGCAAGAACATGACAGATCAGATCTGTGTTTCAGAAGGTACTGGCATAGTGTTCATTTCCCAGCCTCTCTCTGGTAGTAGGGAACTGGCTGTTTTCTTTTCCTCTTGTACCTAAGGGCAGCAACCAGTACTAATTCACTATTGCCTAATAATTTAGGCCTATAGGAATACTGAGCTTGTACTTATATATGCAGGAGCAGTACTAGGAAATAAATTGGGAAAGATACATTGGGGCTCTTTTTGTGGAAATCATTGAATGCCAGGGTATAATTAGTACTAAATTTGGTAGATAATGAAGAGATTTAAAATTTTTTTGAGTAGAATAATTAATTAGAGTTCTGTTTAAAAAACTAATCTAGCAGTAATGTGTAGATTGGATTGTCAAAAGACAGGAATGAGGGCACCTGGGTGGCTAAGTGGGTTAAGCCTCTGCCTTCAGCTCAGGTTATGATCCCAGGGTCCTAGGATCAAAGCCTGCATTGGGCTCTTTGCTCAGCGGGGAGCCTCCTTCTCTGCCTACTTGTGATCTCTCTCTCTCTGTGTCAAATAAATAAATAAATAAATAAATATCTTAAAAAAAAGAAGAAGACAGGAATGAAGAGTCTGGAGCAGTAAATAATTTTTTTTTAATTTTAACTAAATTTTACTATAATGTGATCTCTAAAGAGTCTGCTATGTTATTTTTGTTTCCCCAGTGTGACTGTCTAGTCTAAAGAAATATAAATTGGACTAAATCACATACCTTTCAATAGAGATGCCCATTTTTTTGTGTTATAAGTGATAATGTTAGTACTTCTGATGGGTAATGGCTTTTACAATATATATAGATTCCCAGGTGTTGCTAAGGCCTTCCTTGATTAAATTCCATCTACACCTGTAAGTCCTATATTTCTGACTTTTTAAGGTCAAGATTGCTCTCTCTTTGTCAATCTCTTAAACCTCTTAGATGAGTAGAATGCATTAGCAAACAAAAAGGAAGTCCTCAAAGCCCAGATAACCCATCTCTTTAGAAACTGATCAATAATAAAAAAAAAAAATAAGAAAGAAACTGATCAATACCAGACTATGCAAAACTTACAAATTCCAGCTAGTCCCCAACTTGTATGTTTTTTAAACATATTCAAAAAAAATAATTATGGGGTCCAAGTATTACTAATCCAAATAAGTAATGTAAAGTTAACTTTCTGAATCAGTTTCTCAGAGACTACCTTCTTCAGCATGACTAGTCTATATTGATCTTGTACATCTAACTATTGGAGACCATTTGAGTATTGATACGGTTCAATACAGACTGAGAATCAAGTTCATATAGAGGTTGAGGTTCATCTGTTTTCTCCTTTTTAGGGGAATGGGGAACAGGTCTATCTGCAGCAAGAATACGTGAAACTTACAAAGCTTTTTAAGAATCTTCATTACTTACAAAAGATCTCTGAAATTTCTTTTCTCTGGCTTCCAGTTAAATGGCTACCCCTTCCACACCTTCATCTGTTAGAAAAGCACTAAAACACAGTCTTGAAACTGAAAAAAAAAAAAGTTCCAATTACAATTAGTATTTTTGAGCATCTAGATTATAGGTTTAAAAACTTGAGGCCTTCTGGGGTGCCTGGGTGGCTCAGTCAGTTAAGCGTCTGCCTTTGGCTCAGGTCATGATTCCAGGGTCCTGGGATTGAGCCCCACCCACATCGTGCTCCCTGCTCAGGAGGAGAGTCTGTTTCTCCCTCTCCTCCCCACTTGTGCTCTCTCCCACTATCTCTGTCACTATCGCTGTCTCTTTCTCTCTCTCAAATAAATGAATAAAATCTTAAAAAAAAAAACTTGAGGGGCACCTGGGTGGCTCAGTGGGTTAAGGCCTCTGCCTTCGGCTCAAGTCATGATCCCAGGGTCCTGGAATCGAGCCCCACATCGGGCTCTCTGCTTGGCGGGGAGCCTGCTTCCTCCTCTCTC